GTATTCAAGCCCAGAAGTACATGCGCAAGGAATATCGCGCCTTCCTTGCACAGGTCGTCGATACAAGCCAAAAGGCGAGAGATCCAAAAGACATCCCTGTTGTATGCGATTTTCCGGATGTCTTTCCAGAAGAGCTTCTAGGTTTACCTCCCAAACGTCAGGTTGAGTTCAGAATTGACCTAGTCCCAGGAGCTACCCCCGTAGCTAAGTCGCCTTATCGTTTAGCGCCTGCCGAGATGCGAGAACTGTCCAGTTAACTTAACCAGCTGCTCAGCAAGGGCTTTATAAGACCGAGCTTCTCACCCTGGGGAGCTACGGTATTGTTCGTGAAGAAGAAAGACGGATCGTTCCATATGTGCATCGATTATAGGGAGCTCAACAAACTCACGGTCAAGAACCGCTAAACTCTTCCTCGAATAGACGACCTATTCGACCAACTACAAGGGGTGAGTTACTTTTCCAAGATTGATATTAGGTCCGGGTGTCACCAGCTATTAGTCCTTGAGGAGGATGTTCCGAAGACAACCTTCCGAACTCATTATGGGCACTACGAGTTCGTAGTGATGCCCTTCGGACTGACTAACGCACCCGTAGTGTTCATGGACTTAATGAATAGGGTGTGTCGTCCATACTTAGATCAGTTTGTCATCGTCTTTATTGATGATATACTCGTCTACTCTAGGAGTGAGGAAGAGCACAGGAATCATCTACGATGAGTCTTGGAAACCCTATGATCAGAGAAGTTATATGCAAAGTTCTCTAAGTGAGAATTTTGGATCCGAAGAGTTGAATTCCTAGCACACGTGGTTAGTGAGGAAGGAATCCACATGGACCCATCCAAGATTAAAGCTATCAAGAACTGGTCAGCACCAAAGACACCTACAAAAATTCATCAATTTCTAGGCCTCGCTGGCTACTACCGCAGATTCATTCAGAACTTCTCTCGGATTGCGAAACCTCTCACTACGTTAACACAGAAAGGTGTACCATTTGACTGGGAAGAGAAACAGGAAAAT